AACGATTCGTTTGCACGTTTTACTGAACCCCATGAATGAAAGGCGGAACGTTTCTCCTTACATTTGCTTCTCTATTTTAACTAGACAAGTGTTGATAATAGATAGTTAGCAACTTTGGAATATATTGTACAAGGTGCCACAAGACACTCCGGGGAAAAATATTGTTTAGCGTTGTGATAGGAGAATTTGAAGGTAGATCATTTGTGAGACTGTGAAGGTTATGCGATGTCGTTCTTGGGTAGCGTAAAAACCATTAGTGTTGATTAGCAAAAAAAATATTTAATACATTGATCAACTAAACACTAAGGTATTTGAAAGTGGAGAAAATATATTTTTATAAAATTTGGTTGATCCAAGAAAGGGAAGCAAGTTTTCTTTTCTCGCCAGGGCTTCTTTCTTCATTTTTTGTCTTGTGAATTATTGATTTGATGTCAACAAGAACCGTTAGATTCGTAGTTGGTAATATTTATTGCACCTTTTGTACAGATGTGATGTTTTTTTTGTAGTCTCAATCTTTTTTAATAAAATGAACACCTGTCAATTATTGTTGACAGAGTGGAGAGGAAAGTTTGCCTTACAGTTGTTTCAGGGGGAAGTCACAATCAGATAAAGGAATCAGGAAAACTGTAGCTTTGGAGCAGGCCTTTATTATGAGCGCTTCGGCACGAGGGTTCCTTTGTTACAAGGTTTCCTTCAGCACGAAGGCTCCTTCGGCACGAGGGTTCCTCCGCTCTCGTGAAAGTACCGTAATGATTCGATTTAGCACCTTGGGCACCTATTTACTTTTGATACCTCAAGGGATGACGATTATTCGAAACAGGCGCTTATTTCTATTTTGAGAAACAGCAGAATGTGCGAAAGAAAGCGTTGAGACGAGATCTTTCGTTTAAAGGATTTGTGCACTTATGGCGACATAATACTTGAGAGACTGAGACGATGACCACCATATTGTCGTGTGGCTTAAAGTGAGCAACTAAAGTAAGATAGACCACGGTTGATCTTCATGTTCATGTACTTTTTTCAGTCCTATTTCTGAAACAAAAATAAGGCGTTTATTGGAATAGGGGCACTTATTGGAATGAGGATGCATACTCATTAGGGGCGCTTACTATCATTAACAAAAACCGATTCAAGGAGGGCACTTATTAGGAGAGTGCTAATCGAAACATTACGGTAGGAGGCCATGAAGAACGCAAGTCGGCGAGAAGTCTGCGTAAGGGTCTGGTACTGATGGTGAGCGCCAGACCCCTGGCGAACTTCGTCTTAAATCCCCCCGGGGAAGGACAAACACGTGTCTTGTAGTACGAAGAATAATAGGGCCTGCCTGCAGACTATGAAAACTACCTACTGATGGCGTATCAAAAAGAGGGTCTATGGAGGCTATATTATCGTGCTTAGGTGAAATGGGTCAGCGATGTCATGTTACACACACCGAAAACCACCATCGTGAAAGCCAAGCTTCTGGCATATCACTTGCTAAGGCATCACTTGTATAATACGCGGACTCCATTCTGTAATGTGATTGATATCTGGAGCGGATCTTGCTCTTCCTGTCCTGTGATAGCTGCAATGCAAAGAATAAGATTTTAAGAGATCTTCTAGGGTCTTTTTGAGGCCGAGGATGTTTTCTGATTGATCGTTCGGTGTGGAGTTACAAAAGAGAAGATTGTCTCGTAGTAAAAATAGTTATTTTATAGAACAACGGCTTTTAGCTTTGATTGTCGAAAGTAGTTCGTGTTTGTTAGGTGTCTGTTCACTTTTGTGATTGGTTTAAAAAATCTCGTGCGACTTCCTGAATTAGATTCAAACTCAACTAATCGCGATTTTATTCACTCGCCATCTTTGGTGCTGGAGACAGCTGGCGTTTACTTTGAGCTCTTATTGGTCCCTTGTGATATTTTCCGCTGTTCTGATTAGCAGTTGTAATTTCGTCAGTTCCCTTTTACGAACTTTCATCGAGAAATCCCGAAAAAAAAGCACTCTTTTTTTTCGTTTTGAGGCGGGAGGGCCACTGTCCACCGTAACGTGTCGAATTTGACTAAATCAATACTCACCCTGTGACGTCTTCAACAACTTCAGGGATTTCCAGTTTAGATGCCTTTTTGTCCTTAAATTTGCCAGTAACGTTTCTGCAGATCTTGACAAAGGACGCCTAGAAATCGGAAGAGGAATCGAGAAATTCATTTCAGTTTCTGTTCTTAATTAGAAAGTTATAAATATAACGATGCCGGATTAATTGGAATAGTGATAAAGTTCGCATTAATTGGTTCTACTGGTAATAAGGGTTACTGTCTTGCGAAGAAAAACAACACACAGATCCAGGCCAGGGCTTGAAACCGGACTATTCGATGCATTAACCACCACGCAAAATTTGTTCGCGAGGAACAAAATTTAGCCTTTCCGATTCCTCCCTTCAATTCATAGCCGCCTCTTCGAGTTGCATTAAGTTTAAGTCTAGTATGAGGATAAACAGGGATTGTTGAGATGTTACTTTACCTAGCTATGTGGTCGGTCGAGCAAACTCGTGCAATTTCTTAACCAATCAGACTCAAAATTGAGCCATGCACCTGCGACTTGGTCACTTTTGATTTCCCGCGCTTGAAGCAGTGTGCTCATCGGCCGCTAAAAGTTTTTTCCCCTTCATCTGATTGGCTGTTGTGATTAGTTTGGTTTTGGTCTAACGAAACTCATGTAAACTAAAAGCCCTCGAGCTGTTTAAGGGAGCTCAACACTTTGCAAAGAGTTAAGGCGGGAAATCTTGTGTGCTTCCCCGTATACTCTCTAAACACACACGTTACCGATCTTGCCGCTTTCTTTCGTGGTGTTAGGGGAGATAATCTTCCCGGTTCCTCGTCCAGTTTGTCCAGACCTGTTCCAAGTGAATTGCTTAGTACTTTCATCTGTAAGAATATGGAGCCGATATTTTGAAGTCCTTTGTTCAGGGGTTCGCCAGATGATACCAAAACTGCAATGGCAGGAAGAGAAAATCCTGGTTTAGCTGGTCTACAGTTATATTTCGGATTAGTTTTTAGAATTTTTTTGCCACTTCAGAAAATGCTAGACGATCGATCCCTACCACGTCAGACTGAGTCAATAATATGTCGATTAATCGGACGTCAGTTACTCTATTTATTCCAAGAGAGAACGTGATGGGACTGGAAACAAGCAACTGAATACTGGTAACAAACATTAACCTATACCCAACCCATCACCGACATCCTTGACGATAGTAATTTTTCGTTGGTAAGAACCGGCCAACACAAAAATCTCACACGCGTCGTACAAATAATGATAAAGAAAAACGCTCCCGAATCTCCGGTTTTTTCTGATAATTCCAGACGATCGGGAATATCTACGATTTATATTTCCATCACTCAGCAAACCCTGTAACGGTCGGTAACTGACTAGTCACGGTTACGCAGAAGAACGCTAATTTGATTTTCGCCCTCTTTTCGCTTAGGTTCTTACATGCAAGTCATAATCTTCACACCAACCTGACGGTGCCAATGTCTTGCCAAGTTTTTCTGAAAGAATGAAATAACATAATTACTTAACTAGTAGCACTAAGGAGTTCATAACATCAAAGCCTGTTTAGAAACAAGCGCATGTTAGCAAGATGCCACTCGTTAAATTACCGCCAGCACTTCTTAAGAGTGCGTACAGTGCAAAATTTCACGTGGTGAAAGACTCAACGCTACCTAATGACGCACTGCGTAAAAGTACGAGCCATAAAAATTTTTAAAGAGGAAAAACTCTTTAGGAAAAACTTTAGTCACGGCCATTGTGTTATTGAAGTGCGCATGTTCTATAAACGGGTTTTCAGACATCTTACTTTGTATCCAGAGCGATGTAGTCTCCTTAACGTAGTGCTTGGGTTTCCGACCACTGTTATCGCGCACGTCAACATCCGCTCCTTTCATGTGGGGAGAAAAAAGAAGACGATAAGGTGTAATTAAGCAACACTGATCTTGGTCTCCAGTTCTGCCATATTTAACTTTTTTTTCTGGACTCAAAGTGAAACGAAGGAACATAAACTTAAAATTCTTTTACCCCTAAGAGTGACTGGCTTCTATTTTCTCCTTACATTTTACCCTTGAATCAAATGAAAAGGTTATGAGAATAGAAGAAATGATCACCACGTTAAGAAGCTCCTGATTGTCAAACAAACTCTCCTTCTCAGCACCATAGGAAAAGCAAAAATAGCAGTGTGGAAAATATGAGTAAGCATGAGGCAAGAGCAAGTGTTTTCTTACCGCTGTCAAACAGAGAAGCAATGACGTTTTCTCGGCCTTGGATCACGGCGAGATGTAACGCAGTGTATCCCTGAAATAAAATCATTCGAATTACTTTATTTTCGGCGCGTCATATACATTCATAAAAGTTATATCGGCAAAGAAGCTTCTTCTTCGTATGCGAATTAGGCCACAGTTTGCCAAGTAAACTAAGGGTTAATGACAAATAAAGAGTTGATGTTGCTTGTCAGCTTGTTATTAAAGTGTATGGGCTTCTTTGCCAGGAACTTTAACCCTCGGCTAGGTTGCCGCCATTTTAATTCAGCATCTTCCACCTGCTCCTCCCCCCTAAAAGGCAACGAACCAAAAGGAAAAAAAACAAAAAACAAGACAAAAAAAATATTTACGAAGAAATATCCACTTACCCCCTAAGCAGTTCCATCCAAGACGCCAAAGAGGAACATGATCAACCAAAAAGAAAAAAATTTTAATCAAAAGTTTTTTAGAATCGAACAACGGGAGACACCCCTTACCATAATGAAATAAGGCCCTGATAAAATGGAGGTGGACAAACCCAGCCGAAGTGAGCAATATTCAGGTGCAATATATTCTCTTCCAGACGATCTCTCATTTTCTCCAACAGAGAAGTTCAACCCCCCCCACCCCCACATTTTCTTTTAAGATCTGCCAGTGATAAAGCCATGAGCGTCATGTAATAAAAAATGTGAGGGCAAACTCTCACCTTCTGGCCAATTAAAGAACCGTTGATAGAATGCCACACAAACCATCATGTCCAGCGTTGAAGAATTGTGGGAGACGAAAAGAAAACATAACTCAGCTCGTAAATATCAAATTCATTGATTTATTAAAAAAAGAAACAGATATTTTAAACATAAACAAATTTAATTCCTACCGATTTCATATTTACATCCATTCCTGTATTTATGACAAGTTCGGCTATATCCTTTCTCCCTTTTTTGGCAGCCCAATGAAGAGCAGTCTGCAAAAAAACAATCCAAATGTGCATGAGTCCGATTGTTTTATTAATTTAGTGTATCATATGTAGTTATCTGCAGCCTCATGTTTAGGGAGCTAAACTTCGAGTCGCGAAGTCCAGCGAGACACGTCACTCTCACTATACCTCTCTTGATCCTGGCGTGTTATTGAAAACCTGACGAAAATATTGGGTTCCCTGGATTAGCCTCACACACAGGTGAACTAGTAATCTACCTATACGTTTCATGCCGCAGACACACCAGCAGGATAAACCTCTTGATTTGTTTCCAGACTTAATTACGACCGAAATTTAGACTCGGACGAGCTATAATTTAAGGCATTTGTTTTTTTTTTTTTAATTTTTTAATCGCAAAAGTAGAGATACTTACAAACTGGAATCAACATGCGTGAAGAGCCGTTTGTAAAAGAAGAAAGAATGAGAAACCATCGATTAGTAAACTGAATTTTATTACTTATCGTAAGACAAAACGAATCCAATGAGTAATGCGTTACTTACACCCTTTAGTTGTTTATCCACCATCATAGCAGTGGTCATGAAAGAAAAAAGATGGTGACTGAGAATGAATGAGTGAATATCAAAGAAATTTTTAATTAATTCGCCATTTTACTTCAACATTTTAATTAATACTTAGATGTTAAACTTCTCTCAACTTATTTCTTATTATTATAACATTAGCATTTTAGTACCTTTAGTAAGTTTTAATAATGAAGTCCTTCTGTGACTGATTGATATTAGTCTTAAAACTGTTTACGTTACTTTATTGTAATTAGTTTTAAAATCTTTTTATGTTATTTTATCTTAGTCAGTGAAAACCTCCCTGAAAACCATGTAATGTGACGGGAGCTTCCTTTATCAAGATAATTATTATTATCATTACTATTATTATCATTATTATTGTTATCATAATAATAATAGCAATAATTATAATAATAATAATTATTATTATTATTATTATTATTATTATTAAGCTTAAGAGAGTGCAGTGCTCTACCAAAACCCTACCAACTAAGAACCGATATCACAATGGTCATGAGTTCAACTGTCCAGGTTTGACCCAGCAAGGTCTACTTGATGGACAGGTAAAGCTAGTTGGAACATATATATGCGAACCAAGAAAAAAAAAGAAGTGATAGCTTACCATGAAAAAATCCTTTGACAGGAAAATTTGTAGAGAAAAAAAATTAAGTTTCAGTACAACTGGAATAAATGAAAGAGAATACTTTTTAAATTTCCAGCTACACATTTTCCTGGGTATTCCAAGCGGAAGGCATTCAACAATCATTTTTTTAACAGATACTCTTTTCAGAGGAATACCAGGCAGCACGGCACAGATTAAATTCTCTTCAAAAGAATCGCAGTCGCTTTTTAAGATGTCCTAGAGCAACTTAGCTTACACCCCAAGATAGCCCTTCCTCCACCCC